ACACGTGTGTGTGTAAAATCACCCCATTGGTTCCATTTCTCTGGATCATCCTGCCTGGGGCCGACCTGATCGTTATGAGGCCAATTTTGCCCCTGGGTCGGTCGCTGGTTTTGAATCAGGTGTGTGACCCACATTAAACCAACATTTGATCTGGAACTTTTGGAGAAGTTCTTACAATTCTAGGAGAGCTTCCAGTAACGACTGCCTCTCTCTCTGTTCCTGTGGTGGTCGCTTCCTTAGACACGTGGCCTGGGCAGGCTGCAGTCCCGCCCCAGTCAGCCCCCAGGGTGAAGCCGACGGGAAGGAAGGCGGAGCCCAGCGACTGGCAGAGAAGTGCAGCGGGACTGTGCCTGCGCCAGCCCTGACGCCTGCCCCGCCTCTGGGATCTGCTTTCCAAAACATGTTCCTCCTCGTTGTGCAAACTGCAGTTTTCTGACCACAGCCCAAATTGAAGGTGCAGCCAAAATTATGCCACGGAATACAAAGCTTTCCCTTAAGATAAGTTCTTTCGGATACGAAGAAGTGGGTGTAGCTGATCCGTTGAAATTCACATTTTGTGTGGGTGTGCTTTTAGAATGTTTGTTAGAGATTTAAACATGGTAGTCTCAATCAAAGGGCAGCTCTTAATGGAATCTTTGGAAGTTAAGTAGCAATTATGCAGAATGTTTTCAAAGTGTTCTGTTAATTTGCATTAGAATTATTGCGATTTGTAAGATTCCAGTGAACTTCTAATAATGTGCTCTATCTTTAAATGGCATGTCCCCAGCAAAGCCCAGAACTTGGAAATTAGCTGGCACGGCAGCAGTAGGGCATGCTTTTGGCATTAGTTTATTTGGCAGATACACCTTGCAGGTAATATGGATGTTATTTAAAATACTAAAGAAACTAGAAAAACGGGTTGCCCATGGAGTGGGGAAAATGATGAATTACCTTGGGGCGTGGAGCAGGAGCAACAGTAGTTTCTTGTAAGATAAAAGGAGACCTAGAAAACCTAAATGACACAACAGTCTTTCTGTTCTGCTCCTGAGTTTATTCTAGAGCTTAAGTTGTATGGTTAAGGTCTCACTATTCAAGACCCCTCTCATGATCATGCCTTCAATGTTTCAAGCCCTTTCCGCACAGAGCATCTTTTCATTGCCATCCTGCCCACAGGGGACCAGTCTTCCTTCTCTCTCTCTCTCGCCATGTAAAATTAAAAAATTAAATCGCCAGTTGTTTTTTCAAGTGCATGTAAAAAGTCACGTCAAATAAAAGCTTTGTTCAGCTTGGGTTTCCATACAGACCTCTAGAAGTCAGTAAGACTGAACTTTTGTCTCCCTCACCAGTCCGTTCCTCCTCCAGTGTCACGGGAGTCAGTAACTGTCACTGCCAAGCAGCCCGTGACAGGAAGCTGGAAGTCAGCCTCGCCACCTCTCTCCTCCCCACTGCTCACACCTGGTCCTGTCACCGAGCGCTATCGGTTCTACCCGTGCAGCACGTCACACTGATGCACTTCTCTCCATTTTCACTGTCCGCATTCCAGTGTGAATCACTCTATTTCTCATCTAGAGAATGAAATAGTCTCCCCACTGAACTATCCATTTCTCTTTCACACTTCTTCCGTTCCATTTTCCTTATCGTGTGATGGGGGCTATACCCCCCCACCCCGAAATGGGGGAGGAGTTCGAGCTGCACAGGTGTGACTGGAGACTGGGCCCCTTTGCTGAACACAGAGGGGCAAAGGCAAACCTGGCTGGCAATGGCTCTCATGGGTGGGAAAGCTGGACACTACCACTGGCTTTTGGCGCCATGCGTGGGATTCTAGGAGAGGACTTTTGTCTGAAACAGAGCCCGCCAAAGGCAGTTGGTTCTTTCCCCTCCCCTGGTGGCGGTGGGGGGCGGGGCAGTGCATGTCAACAGCCACCAGCAGTTCTGCCAGCGGGGGCCAGTGTGGGCCTGCGAGCAAAGGCTTGGGGACACAGACCCCCAAAGATTCCTGAAGCGGGACAGTGACTGGAGACGAGCCAAGCCACCTACGTCTATGATACTTTCAGGTGGGAAAAGAGGTTCCTGGCACAACCTTGAACTGAGCTGGCAGAGGATGACACGGTGATTTTTCTTTGGGTGTCTTAGGGAGAACGGGCTTTGAGGCAGAAACGTGCCGTTGTTTGCAAAGACCTTGGAGATAATAGCGCCGTGAACGTGTTACGGTCGACAGGGGGTTCCTCCCTACCTCTCTGGGTTCGTTTTGCCCGCCGCCTGAGGAAAGATGTCTCTTAATGCCAGAGATCACTGAAAAGGAAAGGAATGTATTATTCATTTGAACTAACACAAACTAAAGTTCCCCACAAATGCACACAGTCCTCCCGGCACCCTCCACGTGGCAAAAGGGAGCACCTCCAAAGCCTCGTAGTCCTGACTCTCACCCAAGCCTCGTGGTCCCAACCAAGACACCAAAGCCACGTGGCCCTAAACAGACACGTGGTCCCAAAAAGAGAGACGCCCAATGGCTGCTGTGCCTCCGTTTAAATCCCAGCGCTAATCTTTCTCTGCAGCCCCATTTCCAGCTCCTCCCACAATTGGCCACAGCTGCCAGCATTCTGGGCAGGCACGGCCCTGTGGCGTGGAGCCAATTATCTCCAAGCTCTTCTGGACCCTATTACAGATCCCTATTTGGGGTTCCCCTCTTGGCTGCACCCTGTTACAAACACACTTTTGTTCTTGTGCTATTTTCAGTTCTTGAACCTATGCAGTCAATGTAATGAGACTATTTTTGATGTCATACTCTGACTTTTACTACCCCTTACTTTTATTACTCAGATATTTTAGGCAGAAACTTGCCATTCAATAAAAGATTCCTTTCTTTTCCACTGAACCCTGTCTTTGGAGATTTGCCTGGTAGGTGGCAAGCAGTAGGAACACGCCTACCGTTTGAGTTTGGTAAAAAATAGCAGTAGAGGGATGTTGTTAAAATACTCTTGAATCACATCACTCCCTTGCTTACAATACACCAATAACTTCTAGTTCCACTTAAGATAAAGACCACGGTCGTTAACATGGCACTGAGGCCCTGGCGGATCTGCCCCTACCAACCAGTCTCACGCTGTGTTGTGTTCTTTTGGTTGCAAGCAACAGACACTGACTCTACTTAGTTTCAGGATAATGATACAGGAGGCTATCAAATATCAAGGATAGACTGAGCAACCAAGACCTAGGCAGGTGAAGAAAGCAGGTTCTCCCCCAGGAAACTCAGCAGCAGCTGGTGGATTTGCCTCTCAGGAGTGCTGACATTTAATGGGATTAAGTCTCGTCTCTGTGCTTCTCTTTTTAGTGTTTCCAGTTACCGGGAGAAGGAATCTGATTGGCTTGGATTCTGCCAGATTTTTACCCCTGGATCTATCTATTATCTGCCCTTGGCTCTGTCTCCACAAAGGCGTGTCTGCCTTGTTTATTACCATATAACCTGCGCCTGGCACAAAGTAAGTGTTCATTAAATATTGAACTAGTGACCACCTAATTGAATAAGTGAATTAGCCATGGCCAGAAGACAGGGTCAATTAATATGGACATAGCCAGTGGGGGCTCACTCTGGGGTTTGGGGTTCATGTCCACGGTTGTGAGTGAGGCGTCCTGAGTTTTCATTCCTGCAAACTGCCAAGCTCTCCCCAAACTCGGAGTCTTTGCGGATGCAGTTCACGGTGCCTGAGATGTTGTTCTTCTCCACGGTGCTGGTTATAGGTTTATTGTCTCTCAGCTCCCAATTTATCTTTTTTGCTTGTTCTGTGAAAATATATCTGGGTTCTTTAAATATGTTTTTCCTTTGTCAGCCAATGCAATATTACACTTTGTTCAGTAGAGGGAACTAGAGAGATGCTGAGGAGGCACGTTTCCTGCTGCAAGTCCAAGGTTGTTAATGAATCAGTGGAAGTGTAAACTTTATTTAAAATATACAGTGAGGTTTGGCATTCTCAGGTGTCAAAGGCTTATTAGTTTCGACTCTTTGGCCCACTTGGATCATATACTGCAACTTCCCTGGCCTTCAGCTTTCTCATTAGAGAATAATATATTGACAAGATAACATGGAGTTTTTTTTTTTAATTAATAAACACTTTGAGTACATATTATGTGCCAGGCACGAGGACACAGAATTAATATGTAATTCCTGTCCCTTTTGTTTAGAGTGAATTGGAGAAAGAAACTGGTGTTACGAGATCAGTTAGAAAGACGTTGTGGTCAATCACTTATAAATCACAATTTAGTATACATAAATAAAAAAGACTACCTTCCATAAGAACTAAGATAGAATGGAGATTATTCAAGATGTACTGTGTCAAGTTGCAAAATGAACAAAACCGAGTTGAAGATTTGTTTGACCACAGGTTTGAAAACAGGGAATGCAAAGTGGAAGTTAAACTCGTTGACTCGGGGCTTTGAAACTCACAATTGAGAGGATGAACTTCACACGCACCAAGCGCTTTCAGGAAGGGTCTCGAGATGTAGAACGATAAACATTTTTCCAAATGCAAAATGTTGGTACTACTGGAAGCAAGGCGGTTCAAGTACGTTAAAGGAGAGTTAGCGATTGCAGATGAAAAATAAAACAAATCCAGCTACTAAAATCAAGATTTAGAAAAGTGACAGCCACGTAGCCTGGTACCTCCCACTAGTGTTTGGAGTTCTCCAGCCAAGTCTCGGGGACTTGGATGAGCTACAAGGGAGCCATCATCAGGCTGCCCATTTCTGACCGGGAGATTAGAATTAAGCAGCCTACTCACGACAAGACCAAAGCCCACACAGTCCTATTCCCGGGGTTCCAGCCCGCTCCTGGGCGAGGGACCGCGCACTAATCGCCCACCAATTTCGTCCCAGCCCCCAGCGGAGAGAGCTGCCTTCCCATTGGGTCGGCGTGGGATGAACGTCTCCGATTGGCTTAAGGAAGGGGCGGGGCGAGGCAGTTCCCGACGGCACACCGCCCATAAAACCTCCGCGCTGCTAGGGATTGCGGGAGGGAGGGGAAGTTCCAGGACCGGGAAGTGTCCCGGGACGACCTTTCGAGGCGTGGGTGTGCACTCCACCGGAGCCGGGGTCACCCCCCCCGCCCCCCACCAACCACACGCGCTCCGCCCCCACGCCGCGCCCGAGCTGACGGATCAGGTGACCACGGGCTGGCGCGGTCACGTGGCTGGGGCGCGCCCTCCCGTTGTGGCCATGGCGGCCGCAGGCTCCAGTGTGGCGAGGCGAGTGGAGCAGCTCGGAGACCTGGCTCAGGCCCACATACAGCAGCTCAGCGAGGCGGCCGGCGAGGACGGTGAGGGGGCGAGCGGGGCGAGCGGGCGGAGCGTGTGCGGAGCGGGCTCTCGGCGGCCGTGGGGGCTGGGGCTGCGGCCTGCGGTCGGCGCGTCCCGCGCGCGCGCGGTCAGTGGTCCACTCCGCCGAGCTCGCGCGCCCCGAAGCCGCGGCGTTGGCGCCGGCGCCGCGTTTTTCCTACCCTACGAGAAAACCCGTTTACAGCTCAGACAGGTCCGCGCTGCTCGCCTCTCCTTGTCTCCGTAGCGACTGGCGAAGAGGGCGGAATTCAGATAACTACACGGGAAAGTTTACACGAGTGGTTCAAGCTGAAGGACAGCGCGCGGGCAGTGGTGGTGTGGGGTGCTGGGAGGTGCTGGGCGAGTGTGACAGGCGCAGTTTATGGCTACGCTGTCCATTTCTGTCTTGTTTGGGACCCTAAGCTCAGCTGTGAACAACGTTCTGCGGAAGAGCTTTAACGGGGGTGTAGTGTACACGATTCTTGCACGTACGTGGTCTTACTTCTCCCAAGGGCTGTCCGGGTTAGAAAACTTCTTTTGGAAAGGTCCAAGCAGTTTCCTTAAGCGCAAAAAAAAAAAAAAAAAAAAAAGTCTGGAATTGTCTCGACTTCTAATTTTAAGTCCAGTTCTGTTTCATTACTTCTCAGCTGCCTGTAGGTTTTGCATGATTTCTCTTTGACTTTTGAACCTTTACTACAACACAGATCGGTTTTTAAATTCTTGTGAACTGGTTATCACACGCATAGGAAAATAGTATGGGGACATTTATTTACCCAAGTGACTGAATGAATAGCTGGCGAATTTGTTGAAAAGGGTCTGTGGTGAAAGCGCTCTAGTTCTAGTGAAGATTATTTGGCGAATTATATTTTTTCTTAGGAGCGTGTTCTTCCAAACCCACAGAATGCTCAGAAGCTGACCTCTTTTTCGGTTTGTGGTAAGTGAATCCCAGGATTCACAGGAATAGCTGGTTCGTGGACAGTAGTGGCTAGCACCTGAGAGAGGATCTAAGCTACTTCTAAGTAAATACGCTGGTCAGGGATCTCGGCCCCACTCCAGCTCCACCTGAAACCGTTTAAACAGCTCAAAGGTTTTTTATTCACTTGTCATTGAACCCAAAAGCCATTCTCATTTTTCCATGGAAGTTATTTAATCCAATCTAAAATGAAAGCTGTAAATAAGTCGTGATAGAGATTCATGTTTGGAGTCTTTATAGGTCTGCAAATTTACTAAAGTTAAAATGATACTGGTGCATATTGTAGCATGATTTTCTTATTTTAAGAAGTTTAATAAAGATGCGGGTGCATGTATTTGAATTGAAGTTGATATTCTTTTCCCACACAACAAAACTAATATACATTTAAAATTTGTCCTTTAATGTAACAACGTATGGTTATATTTGGTCATAGGAATTGATAGTTCTTATTGTCTTCTTCAAAATAGATCAGATACAGCCAAACCTTCCATTGAGGAATGTTCTCCGTTTTGTTTTTGTTCAATTTTCTTAACTTATTTCTCATTGTACAGACACACTATATTTACCACAGGACATTATGCCACGAGAGGGAGTTTTTCCAGAAATGTGTAAGAATCACTTTTTTCTTGCCTGTCGTCATTTTGACTGAATTGTTCTAGTAAAAATATTGCAGTCCATAAAAATTTTCTAAAGTTCGAGCTGTTACCTCGTCACCCTCAGTAATTATGTCATAAATTCGTGTGAGATACACCTTCAGTGAATTCAGGGCCACTCTTACATTTAAAATAATCCTGCACTTTAAGAAGAAAACGTTAGTGCAGTCTCTAAAGAAACAGGAGCAGTGCCATGTTCCACAACTCCATGGTAGAATATTTCTTTTGTGGGTCTTTTACATGATACGACTTTCCTGGGCTCGGGAGAGAGGGGAGGGCTAGCGAAGAATCAGGCCAGGTGAATAGTGTGCCTCACCGCAGTCAGAGTCTGGACTGGGTACAGGTGGGGCCTCACCTGGGAAAACAAGGCCAAAGGCTCACATGATTGCCGCAGGCACAATCGAACCTGGTGTTGCTTTCGCTCCTACACTGAACAGCTGCTGTGTCTGCGCCAGTGCTGAGGCTGGATCAGCCGGGCCTGCACCCAGTGCTGGGTTTTCCATCCGCTGGCCAGTGAGGAGGGAAGGGCAGGTGGGGAGTGTTTGTGTTTGTGTACACACACATACATATATGCATATATGTCCGGAAGGAAGTACAGAGGGCAAACTCAGGGACTTGAATGTCTGGATGGTGGGCATATCTAAATTTGTGTACACCAGATAATACAGAAAGCTGGAAAGCACCTTGGAATGGATACTTGGTAGTTAGGGAGGCAAAGTTCATGAGAAAAGGTGAAACCGTAGAAGCAAGGGAAATAAGACGTTGAAGGAAGGGAAGGAAGGGGTATCAGAAGTCTTTCGTTCCAGCTCTTCCGTGTTTTGAAAGGACGAAGTAATTTGTTCCATATCTAGGTTTTAAAAATAAATAAAATAAAGCGGATGCATTATATAATTTTAATTCTAATTGCTATTTTACATACATAAACATGTAAACACTATGGTGAAGTTATAAATGCTCTGAGTGCCAACATTTTATGAGACATTTGATTTAATCAGTTGGGGTCCTTTGGAAAATAGATTTTTAAAATTTTAAGTTCTCAATGGAAGCCCTTTCTGTAGATTGATCATATATTTGTATTATTCCAGCAAAAGTTTTAAATTTATTACTTAAATATTTTGAGTGCTTCATCATAAAAGAAGCACTGTGAAACTAGAGATTGCATTTAAGAAATGACAACTGAACCTGGAAAGTTTTCAGTCTAGCTTTCCAGAACAAATTTCCATTACATTAGCTTAGTTAGGATTAGGTGTCATGTTATATTTGTTTCTCGTAAGATTTTACTATTATGCTGCTCCTCCAGTGCCATAAACATAATTTTATTTGGTCATTTCAGATATATAATGTTTTAGTTTAAATAACAGGCTGAAATTATATGACATAATCACCATGTTTGTTTGTTTGTTTTTTTAAAGATTTTGTTTAGTTTTTAGAGAGGTGAAGGGAGGAAGAAAGAGAGGGAGAGAAACAGCAGTGTGTGGTTGGTTGCCTCTCACATGTCCCCTTCTGGGGATCTGGCCCACAACCCAGGCTTGTGCCGTGACTGGGAATCGAACTGATGACCCTTTGATTCACAGGCCCGCACTGAACCCCTGAGCCACACCAGCCAAGGCAGGATCTTTTTTTAATTTATTGGTTTTTAGAGAGAGAAAGGAAGGGGGAGAGGGAGAGAAAAACATCGATGAATCGATTTGTTGTTCCACTTATTTCTGTACTCATTGGTTGCTTCTTATATGTGCCCTGACCCGGGATCAAACCTGCAACCTTGGTGTGTTGGAACCATGCTCTCAACAACTGAGGTACCTGGCCAGGGCTAATCACCGTGCTTTTATCTCTTACAGATCACTTTCTAATTCGGGCCTCTGCAGCTCTAGAAAAATTGAAACTCTTGTGTGAAGACAAAGACTGTTCAAATCCATCAAATCTTCTCGAACTTTACACACAGGTACTGAGACAGCTGTGGTTTCTGACATGTTATGGGGTCAGATTGCTTAATGAGATGGTTGATTCCAACGTTTAAGTGTAATAAAATCAGTTTATTCTCTCCTTTAAGCGTTCAATTTTATTCAGAAACTGTAAGTATGTGTAAAGCATATAGACTTGAAACTTTGTGGCAATATGCAAAGAAGATTTAGCAGAGGAGTGTTGATCAGAAAAATGAGGATTATATCTTGCAGATAACAGAATCTCTTCCCTTTATAGATAAGTAAGCAACCTTTATAGATAAGTAAGCAAAACAGGACGAATCCTGTTTCCAAGGTCTTCAAGGTTATTCTGAGGAAGTGGAGGATGCTGTAAGAGCCCCGATTATTTTCCCCTGAAATTCTCATTTCCTTAGGGCTCCCAACAGGACTCCCCCTGCTGTTGTCGTGCAAGGCTATGAGTTTGTCCTGTTCCCCTCTTTCCCTGTTTTTCTTTGCTGTCAAAAACCAGGCCTCTGTGTAGACAAGACACAAGGTCTGTTTTCTTGGTTTTCTCTAACACTGCTGAGACAAGTGGACATTAAACATTATTTCATTATAATAACTAACATGCGCATAGCATCTTAGAGTGGATAGAGTGCTTCACATGCCCTTACTTGACAGCTCAGCGGTGGTAAGGATGAGGCAGTTATATACAAAGGAACTATTTGGTAGCTAAAAGTAGCCACGGGGAAGTAAACCAAACAGTCAATAATATTTTGGTAACTATATATGGTGCCAGATGGGGGGCTGGAAATACTGAGGGAGTACTATGTGAAGGTTATGAATGTCTAACCACTAAGCTGTGCACCTGAAACCAATACATAATAAAAATGGGAAAAAAGAAAAAGAGTAAACTTCAGTACACTTCCAAGTGCACCTTGGGTGGTTTGAAGGTACGTGAACAGCGGGTCTTGCATTTAACTAAGAAAGCAACTAAGATTAATTAAGAATGCTGGGGGTCTTAGCATTCCAGTTGCATGGTACTGGTGATAGGCGGCCTGTGTTGGGGGGCAGGGTGCATATCCCGCAGGTGTTGAATCTGCATTCAGGAAAACATCCTTTGAAGATTCACTTTACAGAACTAGAGGTGGTGATCTTGACTTGATACAGCAGCCATTTAGAAAACGTTCAGAGTATATATGTATAAAAAAGAATATAATTATACTTTTCATAATATTGTATATGATTAACTTAATTAGAACATAGAACTCCACTTTATTTTGTGAGGGAAGGAAGATTAGCACTAATTTAATATTTTAGTGAAATAGCTATGAAGTTTTCCATAAAGTTCATATCGGATTATATTTACAGCTAGACATTTTGCCTACTTTTCAAATTTAAATTTTTTTCTACTTACTGATTTTAGAGAGAGAGAGAGAAAGAAACATTGGTTTATTGTTCCCCTTATTTAGTTATTCATTGCTTGAGTCTTATAAGTGCCCTGACCTGGGATGGAACCCACCACCTTGACGCATTGGGACAACGCTATAACCAACTAAGATACCCTGCCAGGGCCTCAGATTTAAATATTGTGCTAGAAAAGTTAACTGTCTAATAAAACATCTATCTATCTATCTATATGTGCAAAGTCAAGCTATTGAGAGTCACTCTCTCAGGTTTAAATCATTTACCGATGCTTGTTTTCTCACACATCAGGCTATTTTGGACATGACGTACTTTGAGGAGAACAAGCTGGTAGACGAAGATTTCCCTGAAGACTCTTCAGAGAAAGTAAAAGAGCTGATCACTTTCCTTTCAGAACCAGAAATTTTAGTTAAAGAAAATGACAGGAACCCTGAAGTAAGTCTTACACTCATGAATGATGCAAAGCTGCTAATTCTTACTGTGTGGCCTGCTCTTTAGAGTCTGTAATTCTTTTTTTCCTTGAATATGTCTTTGTCTCTGTTTTAAATTAAGATTGAAAGCCCTGGCTGGCGTGGCTCAGTGGATTGAGCCCCGGCCTGCAAACCGAAAGGTCACGGGTTCGTTTCCCGGTCGGGGCGCAGGCCTGGCTTGCTTTCAGGCCAGTGTTTCCCTGCCTCTCGTTCTCCCTCCCTTCCCCTCTCTCTGAAAACAAACAAGATTTAAATAAATGCATAAATTAAGATTGAAGGAGGGATTTATGAAAGTTTAACACTTCACGACAAAAGTTGTTATATTTTCCTAGAGATGTTTCAGAATATTTGCATGCTGGAATTGTACTTTAACTACGGTGCCTGATCGTTTTCTAAGCACAGATACTTGCTGTTTCTGCTCTCTTGACTTTTGCAGATGCTGTATCTTCTGGAGGGTCCCTGGTAACTTAACCAGCACACTTCTTGTCCTTCTTACAGCCCTCAGCCTTCTGGACACGTGCTGCCTTTCTTCCCACGGACCCGCCTAACCCTCCAGCCCTGCGTGCTCCTCCAGCCCTGCGTGCTCCTCCTCCTCATCTCTGAGAAGTCTTGCTCTTTCCCCAGCACCTCCCCTTCCCTTATTCCGGGAGCGGGCATGCCCAAGGATGTCTCCTTACTCCTCTGACAGTCCCTCTTCTGTCTTTGCGTTACAACCTGTTCGTATGTTCTTCACTGCCGTCTCTCTTCGGGTGGTTTCAAGATCTTCCTCTCTAGCCATGGCTGCTCTTCCAAGTGCGTCATTTCTCACCTTCAGCTGCTGCCTCTCTCCCCCCGGATGGCTTAGTGTTGTGTGTGTTGATGAGGGGCTGCTAACTGTGGGAGCACATCCTCTCGCATTTTAAATGACACAGCACAGTAAAAGTTTGATTAGAGTTGTTTTTGTGTATATACTTTTATTTTATTCTAGCAATAGTAGAAATCTTGTTTCAAGTAACATGTATTTCTGAAAAGTTATCTTTTTTAATCAGATTGTGGAATATTTATTTATGTTTCAGATATATTAGAATTTGCTACTAAAATATTTAAACAATATTTTCTACAAATATTTATAAATGGAGTATTTTAATTTTCATATACTAATAGATTTCTGCGTTTCTACTTGATACATTCCTGTGTAAATACATAAATGAAGAGCAAGTTTTGTGAAGTGAGAGTGTGTTTAGTTCCTCAGTCTGTTGAACTGGCACTTCGGTTTTACAGGCGCCAGGCTTCCCTTCTCAGCTGTGCCTCTGTTGTGTTTCAGCGCGGCCGCCTGCTTGGGGACGAGCTCCTGGAGTGCCTCTCGTGGCGGCGAGGAGCCCTGCTTTACATGTATTGCCATTCTCTGACCAAAAGGCGCGAGTGGCTCACGAGGAAATCGAGCTTGCTTAAAGAGGTAGGAGGCATTTCTCCTGTATATTCGATTATTGACATTTTTGTAGGTTTCGAAAAGCTGTCCTTGGCATAGTATTAAGACTCTTGGAACCAAAGGGTCTGCATTCCAGGCCTTTTGCTTACTGGCTGTGTCATCGTAGACAGGTTGGAATTGTTGTGAAGATCGAGTAAGGTAACATGTGAAAGCCCTTATCTACCAGAAAGTTCTGTAAGCTCAGGGTTTTTATTTTTTAAATACAGTATAAGGTAGATGATGTGTATTAATTTTTAAGCATATTTTTTGGCCTGAAGAAAACAAGTGTGGCTGTGAGCCTCTCTCTGTCAGCAGGTCACTCCTGCTGCTCCTGGAAAATTGTGGCTCTCTGATTTGGTTTGAGTCTGTGACCGAATCAGTAAACGTAAACATCGTCTTAGTGTTGCGTGCTATCACCTGGGATTCTAACCTGGGTTGTTTGGGCACACGCGGTTTACGTGGGCCTGCAAATGAGAGTCCACACCTTCATGTTAAAGTCTGAGCGTATTTCTAAATTATAGTAAGTACATAGATAATAAACTGTTGAACATGACCTTATTATCTTTATCCTTTTCTTCCTCTGATCCCATTTTTGACAAGTATATTACTGAATCATGTGTTCTTGGTCAAGGATTTTTTTTTTTCTTTCATGCTCTTACAACTGGAGCATTTGGTGGGTTACACTTTATAATACATATGAAAAGCTTTTTGGGGTGGTGGATCCTTTGACCACTGAAATGTAATAGCCATAAGACACGTCTGTGTATTAGCCCATTTTCTCTTGAGTAAAGAATGGGGTGGGGTGGGGATAACATTTGAACTTTCTATAGCTCTGCGTATAATACTTTCAATTCTTTGGCTTTGACTTTCATTTAGTACCTTGTTGATGGAATCAATTACTTGCTACAGATGCTAAATTATCGGTGCCCTACCCAATTAAATGAAGGAGTTTCTTTCCAAGACCTAGACACAGCTAAGTTACTCAGTGAAGGTAATGTGATCTCTTTTTGAAGTTTTTGTTTTTAAAGCCTTTTAAAATTTTAACAAGTTTATTATATTTCACACTGATTTAAGTACATTTCAAGTTACATCATAGACAAAAATAAAACAGCTTCTAAAAATTCAAAGATCTTCTCATATAATGTAGAAAAATGCTGCTGACCTCTCTGCTTTGTAATTTTGGGAGCATTATATTTCATGGTACATACTTACGTTGCATCCCCCATAGTCGCCATCAGGTAGCAGGTTCTACTACTTAGAGCAGAAACTAGAAGCGGCTTTTAAATAAGATACAGCTTGACTGCTCTTGCACGTAAAGATGATCCAGAGCTGCTTATGCTGGTCTCTGGCGTCATCAGGTTCCTGTCTTTTTCGTCCGTCACCTTCAGAACCAGAGCCCTTAGCTTCAGAAGGAGGCCCTTTGTGTAGATTACCTTGTGGAAAGTACTTCCCGGAGCTGTGCAGGATGCCTCCCTCTGAGGATTCTGCGTCCGCTCTCAGTATCCCAGCGTGCTCCTGGAGCTCCTTCTGTCCTACCTGTGTTTCAGAGTGCAGGAACGAACGCCAAGGGTGTTTTCTTCCACTCGAGTCGGCTCCTTTGGAGCAGCCTTCCAGAAGTTTCTTACAACACTTCCATCCACATTTCACTGGCCAGAGCTGGATCACGTGGGTTCATGTAACTACAAGGGAGCCTGGAAAGTATAGTCCTTCACCCGATGCACTGCCATCCCAAGTGAAATTAGATCTGTTTATTAGGAAAGGAAGGAAGAATAAATACTGGGCGGCAACTGTTAGTTTCTCTGCCACAAACATCTTTGCACTTAAAAATGCTAAGAACTGGAGATGGTAGATCATCTGGGTTTTAGGCTGAGGTGCGGGAGGGAAGAACCACTTGTTTTTACTGCCTCTCTTCACAAGTGGAGGAACTGAGGTCCTGATGAACCAGCAGTACCTGTTCACGGGCACGTAGCTGGCAAGTGATGTACATGATCCTATGTGTATGTTTTCTTCTGTACCTCATCTGAGGTTTTGATGGGGGAAATCAAAAATGGGAAAAGGAGAGAACTTCTTAGGGAAAATTCTCTTTTGTTTTATTTTATATTTTAATTCTCCTTTGGTAGCTTCTGTGGGCTTTTCTATTAAAAACATTGCATAGGGAAAAAAAGCATGATGTAAGTGTCATCAGTATATGGCTGGCGGTATACAAAAGTTTTTACTTACAGTTAATTTGGACAAATAGCTTGTCCTATAGAAGTTTTATTATGACTACATAGTGCTCTTTCAGTAGGTGTGACACTTTGACAAACATGGGGTGTTTTATTTATGGGAAGTATTTATTTGGATAACTAGTGAACTGACTGGCTGCATGAAAAATGGCTTTTCTAAAATGTACTTATACAACTGCATGGATTACTTTAAAAGAAAAAGCAGGGGTAGGCACTGAAGCCTATTTAGAACCAAAGAAAGTGGCACAGGTCACCCGTTCTTTTCCTCCTTCTCCCACTTCTAGTCATGAGATAAGGTATTCTCATGGCCTGAAATTTTTTCTCCAAAATGCAAGTGGTACTGGTATCTTCTCTAGGTCGTAACTTGGCGCTCACCTTCGCTGGTACTGCTTGCATGACAAGGGAATGAAAAGGGCAGGGAGGGTCGCTTTCCTCCAGAAACAAAGAAAACTGTGTTAGTCCGTAGTGGTACCGTCCCAGTGGTCCATTCTTTCTCTCTCGCTCTCCTCCAAAGCTGTTGGGTCCCGTGTAATTCATCTCTCTCAAGGTCATCCGAGACCAGCAGCGCTGCTTTCCACAGGCTGAATTATTTCTAAGACCCCGCCAGAGACATTTAACTTTTTCATTTTTTTGTTAGCCAGTATAAAACATTCCAGAAAATCCTCAGTACTTATTAGGGAAAAAAGTTCTATATGAGTCATCAAAAATATTTTTGTGGGCAGATCTTAATAATAATTTACCTAATTTTAGACAAAACTCAATGCAGTATATACTTAGTAAGATTTCTTTTTCTAAGCTAAAGACAACCATATTGTCCTTTGAATATTACCTATATGTCATTAAATTTTTAGCTTTTAAAAATTACTGAGTAATGTATTTAGTAAATCTTTTTATCTCATCTCTGAGCCTCATTCCTCTGTGTATTCTTACAAAAACAGGCTTGTCCGAACAACCCTGGAGTTAGCAGGTTAAATCAAATAATGTTGAGCTTTGCACAACCTTGGTTTATGCCCTTTGTATACCACTGAGGACCACCTTCTGCTGGCTGCCCTCTTGCCCATTGCTTACCCCAGAAACTGGACTTCAGACCCCCTAAAGCAGCGGCTCTGAGCTGTCATTGCTGAGTGCCTGGGTAGCTTGTTAAAAATGCACATTTCTGTGTGCCACCTGCAGGTTCGGATTCAATACGTGGAGTGCAGGAAGCTGTTTTTAATAAGCCCACAGACTTACGATGCAGTCAGCTTGAGAGACCTCACCGCTCCTAGGGTCGCCAGTCTGCCCACCTTTTTAATGTGAAAGTCACCTTTCTGCCCTCGCCCTATCCCCCTCTGCGTTCCCCACTATCACACGTGTTCTAGGACATGCACAGGGCAAACTGAAGTAGTTCATCAAAACCCATGCTGGGCACTAGCCCAAAAAAAAAAAAGGAAAACTTGGAGTAGCCAAAGGACTGTAGCTACAGAGTAGTAGATCCCTTGAGGAAGTAGAGAGGAAGAAAGTGCCTTATTTTTATATTACTCATCCTTTTTTTTTTAAACACGTTACTCATCCTTTTGATGCAAGATAGTGTAATGCAGTGGTTTGGCACAGTCTGTGGACCAGCAGCATCAGCATCGCCCCGAGTTCCAGGACTTTGTTCAGAACGCAAATCCATAGACCCAGCCCCACACCGGACCCTGTCATTCTGGAGGTGGGGGCCGGGCAGTCAGCGCATGCTCCTGGTAATCCTAAAGCAGGCTAAGGTGTGAGGACCACTCTTTATTGTACAGCCATTCATTCTCTCCCTGGTAAAAATCTTCCCGTAGGATATCTGTGCCTTGTTCAGTGGCCATTCCTTGTTAATAATATAAAGAGTGAGGCTGGGGGATGCATTATCCATATGGCCCCTTGGGACTGGAGGGACTCGTGGGTCGGAGCCTGGAAATCTCAGGGTGGCTAAGACCCTGCGTCCCCTCCAATTCCTGCAAGCACCCCTGGTTCCGTCCCGTGCCCAGATACCTCAGCTGGCACCTCTCCTGACTCCACACTACAAACTCAGCTGGGACAGACTTCTGCGGCTGCCGCTCCTCAAGATCCTGGCTCCCTTGTATGTGAGGAACTCTCGGATGACACAAAACCCGATCGTTCAGGACCAGACTGCTGGTGCAGCCCAGGACAGGGCTAGAGCCCCTACTGGTGTGCTCGGGGTGGTGTACCAACAAGGAGCGCGTGTTTCCAGTCGCTGGCCTCCGGTGCCTGGCTAGGGACAGCGGTGCAGGGCACGCCGCGCTTCCTCCTGACCTTCCACCTGGAGGGGACTACAGAAACAGCGAGGACTCCATACGCATGGTGTGCATTGTGCCGGGCCAGCAGCTGCCTAAGGGCCTGTGCGCCCCCTACCACGGAGGCTTTTACAAGGAGTGTGTGCAGTGTTCAAGTACCAGGGCATGCAGCCGAGGGACCTGCGTGTGGGCAGTGAGGCCGTCATCCTGTCATCGGGCATGAGTGACCTATTGCAGTTTGTGGCCAAGGAGGGCACCTGCGTTGAGGCGGTCCTCATCTTGGACGCCAACACCTTCAGTGTGGAGAGGGCGCTGCACCCCGCCAGCCACCTGCGCCTGTTCTGCTGTGTCCTGAGCAACTCGTCAGCCTGATGTATGGGGGCTGCTGAAGCTGCAGCCCTTCCACACACAGCTGTGTGTGTTATGCCACCAACATGTGCAAGTACAAGGTGCTCAGCGAGTACCTGCGTGAGCAGGGCCAAGACGTGTGTGTGCTTAGAGCACCTTCCCTACGTGGGCAGTGGTGCCACCGTGACTTCAGCCCTGTGGGGCTGCTGCTGGCCAGCGGCTGTCCCACGCACCCCCTTCTGCAGGAAGCACAGAAGGCTGAGTCCAGCTCTTTCCGAGCCAGCCTGCCGCTCTGGAAGACTGCCGCCACCAGCCTGGGCCTCCGTGTGTAGCAGGTGCTGAAGACGTGCTGAGACAGCAGGCGGGGGTGCCCAGACAAGCACGGGGGCATCTGGAGAGGCAAACTAGTTTTGTAACTAACTTTTACCTTTCACTTTGGTGTGGCCCTCTGAGAACTTCTAGAAGTCCGAGTTCGACAACTGGGGGGTGATGGAGGGAGTTCAGAGCTGTCCCTATCTGTGCAGTTAAACCAGCTAGGCTGCCTCTCTCAGAGCCTTGGCTACCAGTTAAATTCTGGGGTCTGGCCCAACCTGGACGGTACGCATACCTGGGAAGGCAGCAGCATTTCCAAAAACGTCCCCCTCAGAACAGGGATGAAGGTAATTCCCTTGCAGGGGAGAGACCTTTGTAGACCAGGCCACGTAACCTCCCCTTACCTAGTCTTAGGTCAAGGAGACCCAGGTGCTGAATTCCTCCCTTATCGGACTCTCAGCAAGGAGAAATTTGAGCTCTCTGCCGACGCCCCGGGGCCTAGCTCTTGTTTCACTTACCTTGACCCCACACTACATCCCTTTTCTTGCCTCCCACCTGGCCAGCATCCTCAGAGAAAAAGCCAGAGGGGACAGTCGCCTTCTGGTGGTGAAGTGAGGTGGCATACTGTCCAGCTCAGGCTGGGCCGGCCAAGGACTTCTCGGTGGGACACGGTGCCTGCTCGTACCTCCCCAGCCTCGTCTCTGCAGCAGGGCCAGGGCCTTAACCAGACTCGCCCCTCTCCGCCCATGTGGAACAGAGCCATGCTGATCTCCAGCAGAGCCAGGGGAAAGGTAAAAGAGTAGTGAGGAATGAGGCTGACCTGGAGTTGGGCATAAACTGGGTCCCAGGCCTCCCTTAGGCAAGCGTTCCCACCCTTCCCCAGTGGCTGCACCAGTTTGCGGGATGTACCTCAGCTCCTCCCAAAACTATAGCCCGCTTAAAAAGTCAACCTTCCCTCCATGTCTGCTGCGCTCTCTCCTCTCCACCAATCTGTTTAGGAATAATTAAGCAGGGGGTAGGTTCACAGAAATAAAAAGGGTGTGCGTTCAGTGAAATACTGAATCTAATATATAATTCATATATAATATGAAGCTGCATTCAGCTTCTTCGTGCACGTTCTGGTATTTTAAGTATGAAGGAATAAAGTAAAAAATAATTATGAGTAATATTATTAAGTGAATGTTTTATACATAGAAAGCATAATTCAGAGAGTGTAGCCAATCGTTTTCATGAATGCAAGCCTCAGATTCTGCTCTTAAGTGATTATTTGTCTTACTGATACAACAGTTTATGAGTCAGCCAGCTCCTCTAAACCTGTTCCTTCTCTTGCTACTGTTTGTAAGCTGAATTTGGGGTGAAGTGAAGGGGCAGATGCTAAAACATAAAAACTTGCAATAGAGTCAAGAGGACAGACACTGTAACAGTTTTGAAAGTTGAATTTTTCTTCCGTTTTTACTTGTGTCTCTAGTACCATCATAATCATTTCTGATTAGCCGTATAAGGTGAGCAACTGAGATTATGATTCTCATTTATTCGAGGTAAATTTTTCTAGTTACACAAGTACCTGTACATTAGAATAAATAATATATTTGTATTTTAAAGGCTTTAAGATGTGAACTAGTTACGTAGTTTATATTGTTGTCAATAATTTATACCCAAGTCTCTTTGATTCTAGGTCTGTCTTTCTACCAAATTGATACACTTTATATGCCACAAATGTCTGATTATATAATTGCCTTCTTCCACGATAGAATGCTTTAACTTTTGAATATTCTGCATGTATTTCTTCTCCTGGGAACATAAAGTATCTTGGATCTAATTTAACTGCTCTGACAATTCACATTAAATGGCCTCTCTGGGTCCCGTTAGTGCCTGATGCTTTCTGCAGGCTCTTGTAGAGCTGGGGGAGCGGAAGGGCGCTTGACGGGAACCGTGGTCTCGGCTCTGGAGTTCCCCTGAGTTAGGGGTTGTGTTCATGGTGGCCTTCTGGGAGACTCTACTCTCAGTGCTCGGAGACTGTGCGCAGAATTAGGGGTGTGTGTCCCAGGAAAGGTTCCGTTGATTCCATTCCATTCTTACAGAGGCCTCAAAGAGAATCCCAAAAAGGATAAGATCACACTGGTCTAACTGACCTTCTTAAAAACTCCTCTGACAATACTCTTTCTTCGAAGGGGAAGAGAGGAAATGTGCCTCTTGGTAGATTAGATAAAACGAAGATGGAGGTGTCCTCCCTGGCTGGTGTGGCTGAGTGGGTTGAGTGGAGCCTGGGAACCAAAGGGTCACGGCTTTGACTCCCAGTCAGGGCACATGCCTGGGTTGAGGGCCAGGTTCCTAGTGGGGGACAAGCGAGAGGCAACCCCACATTGATGTTTCTCTCCGCCCTCTCCCTCCCTTCCCCTCTTGTCTAAAAATCAATAAAATCTGAAAAGGTAGATGTGCCGATTAAACGAGGGTTGTACAAAAGTGGTCCTTGGCTCTTCTAAGTGTAACTATTAGATGAGAAGGAAACATGATTGATGGCATAAAAGGGATGTATTAGTTTTAATAACCAGAGTTTCTTAAGTTTTGAATTCTAATCTCTCCGTTGACACGACCTTCCCAGGAGTGTTCAGTGACATCCACGTGCTGGCTATGATGTACAGTGGAGAGATGTGTTGCTGGGGGCTGAAGTACTGTGCGGGCCCCCAGCCAGGAAACCAGGAGGTGGGTACCGGTGTTTCCGGAGCAAGCCACGCCGCACACCACAAGGAACCCCTGGATTTCCGAGAAGTGGGAGAGAAGATTCTGAAGAAGTATGTATCCGTGTGCGAAGGACCCCTGAAGAAACAAGAATGGAATACAACAAATGCAAAACAAATTTTAAACTTCTTTCAGCATCGCTCTAACCAGTAAGTTTGCCTAGTCTTTTTCAAACAAAAACAAAAAAAGACCCATGAAATGGAAATGTTCCGGGAAAGAAGGTGCATTGACACTGAACTTAAAAGAATGTCACACTACATAAAGGTGTCCGGCGTGGTTACCCTTTTGAAATGCCACCACCATGCTTCCTTATAGATTCTTAAACCCATGAAGGGACAGTTCTTTCATTTCTAAAGTGGCATGTATGTTACTTTAACTCAGCCTGAACTACAGGCGTCCTCTGACTAATGCTAAAGAGGAACCCAGTTCACCTTTACAAAGATTTTTTTCTGTTACTTCAGGTTTTTTTTGTTTTTAATTGTGGGAAACTGTAACAAAATTGACCATTTTCACTGTCTTTAGATTATTTTTCTATCTCTGTACCATGAAGCCTGCTATGCTTCAAAGGGTTAAAATCAAGTAACCTCATTGCTTTAGATATATGCTACAGATACCAACATTGGCAAAATCATGACAAATGTTCAGATTCCATTTCCAGAATAAGATAGATAATGAACAACTTGCCCTGGCTGTTGTGGCTCAGTGGATTGAGCGCAGGCCTGTGAACCAAAGGGTCACCGGTTCGATCCCCAGTCAGGGCACGTGCCTGGGTTGCAGGCCAGGTCCCCAGTGGGGGACTCGTGAGAGGCAACTGCACATTGATATTTCTATCCCTCACTTTCTCCCTCCCTCCCCCCCTCCAAAAATACATAAATAAAGTATTGAAAACAATAATGAAAGACTTCATAAAAGAATGGTTGCTTAATTATTTTACCATATATTCCTAACAGCATTTGAATTTTTTATCTTTCCTATTAGGTATTTTACCAAAATTTAAAATGATGTTCCTATCTTGTTTAAAAGAATATGCATGGTTTATCACATGAGTAATAAAGATAAAAACCAAGTTAGGTTAGTCCACTGTTAGCCCATACGTCTTTCGGGCACATCTTCTCATATGTATCAAAATGTTTGTATGCTTTTGTCTTGACTAGCAAAGGCCAGGGACCCCGGCTGCTGCCCTGCTCACGGGCTTTCTGGGGAGCGCCACCCAGTGGTTCCATCAGTTTCCCGGGACGGACTCCCGCGGCCACACTTGACTGTCACCATCCTGAGTCTCTTTCTGAAGTCTGAAATTTTAGTAACGGATGATAATTCTCATCTGCCTAGCTCTTTCACCTCTTCATTTTCATTGCTTGTCTCCTTTATTCCTTTTCACTTCTTCGCAGCCCCCTCCTCCTGACCACTGCCCTTTCCCTGGAACCGTCAGCCCCTTTCAGATGTTCTCCTTCCTTATCCAGCCTCAAGCCGCGGGGAAGCGCATGAAGTGCTTTCTGCAGACCCCCAAATCCGCCTTCCCCTCGGCCTTCAGCCTCATCATTCTGCAAGCCCTCACCCTTGAATTCATTCTGTCATTCACCTTTCCTGGGTGCTGAGTTCCGCCTGCAGCGCACGCAGCCCTTCGGAGTGGGATCACTCTAAGTATCTCACCTTCAACTTCAGAGGAGCCCTCAGTGTAAGCCTTTGTTTTTACGGGGGGGGGGGCCTCCCTTTTCCACTCTGGCAGATCCAAGCCACTAACATTCCTCGGCCCTATGTCCCGCCCCTAACTAACATACGGCCATTGGCCCTATCTTACAGACAGCCGGGATTGTTAGGAGGTCAGTTTCTGTTTACTAGCATTGCCCTCTTTATCTCCACTGCCCCCCACCCCACCCCTCTTTAGAAGGAGAGCCAGCCTGCTTCCTCTGGAGCCGGGGCTCCACCTTCCCTGTCTGCGGTCCTCTTCCTTTCCCCCTGGGCTTCTCTTTCTCTGCCTTCCTCCTCTCTTTTTACATACTCTAAATACTCTGGGGTGTGATGTCATTCATAGCCGTGGCTGCTTCTGCCGCCTTTAATGTTAGCCTGACTCCCAACCCGTAGTGAATCCCAGCTTCCTCCCTGCTCTCTAAACCTGACTTCTGGCTGCCTATTAAATATCTTTACTTAGACGGCCCATAGTCATTTTAAGTTCAGTATGTCCAAACCACTAATCCTCTTGCATGTGAAGTCTTTTCCTGTTCATTTTCCTCGTTATTTTTGATCTTCCCCTGAGTGGAGCAGAGCACGGCAGAAGCCACAGCCCGGTTTCTGCCCGCCTCCCCCGTCTCTGCAGATCAGCCCGTGCAGTCATGTTCCAGCCAGCGCCCCTCACACGGCAGAGCCCAGGCGCCTTTTGATACGCGCAAACCTCCTCATAGGGCCCCTTGGGACAAGGGGACTCGTTCCCTATTTCTGCCCCCATCTCTTTGCTTATCCTTAGATAGCTAAGAAGGTTTTTATTTAACTTAGTGGTTCACCACGTTTTACTGTGAAAATACCTTGTGCTTTCTAAGTATAAAGATTTAAATCATTTTAAATACAGTTTTTAGACCCACACACTGCCCCCCCCCGCCCCCCCAGTTTTGGAGCATCTGGATCAAGTACCATACTGGCAGTGCTCCCCCGGGGGCTGTGCGTGTTCCTGGACGTCCTTGCAGACCGCGTCACTCCCACCCGGAGCACTCGGCCCTGCTGTGCGGCCCAGCGGTACCCACTCACCCTTTAGGACTCCGCTGGCTCCCGTGGTGCTGTATCCACACGGCTTTCTTCAGCCCTTTCCAGTGAGGCTTAGATGCCCCTTTGCTTCTGCTCTTGCAATCTCGCCCTCCCGTGTCATCACAGGGATTGCATTGCTTGATTGTTTTCCTTACGATGGTGAGCACTGTGTTTTTAAAAATCTACCTTTATACGTAATGCTTGATCAATGGTAAAACCATTAGTCAAGTTTTCGGAATTGACAAGTGACGTGGTTCTAAGTGCCGAGCTCTGCTGCGCTCCACACCGCCACGCCCTCCGCACCAGGGCTTGACCAGGCAAACACGGAAGGCGCTCCTGAGGAGTGGAGCGTCACGGGAGTTGGACCCAAGGAAATGAGAGCTTTCTCTTGAAAAGCTTGGAACTTCCATTTTGCCTTCATGACCCACGTGTACCACTTGGGTCTCACCGCTTGGTACAGGTGTGAGGGCACTATTGGGTGCTTTTTGTACAACTTTCCCACCCCCACACAATTGGAGGATAATTTGTATGCCATAACAGTGATTATACAATGCTTTTTACTCTAGGGTATACAAAACATGAACGTATTTTGTATGTTAAAGCCTGCCAAGTAAATTCTGTTTCATGTAGAATGAAGGAGCTTCCAGCTACCACATGAGGAAGGTACTATAATTCACTCATCAATTTTTACGTTCCTGGTACATGCCAGGTTTTGTCCTAGGCACTGAGGATGTACAGCTTTGTAAAACACCCTCTTTCCGAGTTGGCCTTCTTGTGGAGGGAGTGAACACATTTTAAAAATACATAGTGTGTTAAGTGGTCAGTGCTGTGAAGAATAAAGCGGGCTCGGGGACTACTGTGACTCTGGAGAGGAGTGCTGTTTTCGGGGTGGTTGGGAAGGCACCTCCAAGCACCTGTCTACTTAACGTTTTGTATCTTCAAATTCTATCCCTTTGGTTACATTGCTTGTGAACATTCAGTACATTTATAAAGTTTCTCTTTCTCATGGAAGTTCTGATACTGCAATAAGAAGTACTGAGTCACTGCTTAAGACCGTGTCAATTTTATTACATTTAAAGGGTTGTCCTCTAGTGTGGGCTTTACTAATGGGTGAGTCTAAAGGCCTTGGTGCATTTATTATACTAAGGGTTTCTCCTTTTGGGTTTTCTCATAGTTACTGAAACTTAAACTCTGTTAACAGAGTTTTATAAATCCTTAAATTTGTATGGTTCTTTCCCTATATGAGTTTTCACATGAATTTTCATATGTCAGGTAGGCTTTGAGACTTGAAGTCCTTCCCACTTCAGTGCATTTATAGGGTTTCTGGCCAGTGCAAGTTGTTTCGTGCTGAATGCTGGCCTGCCAACCGAAAGGTCGCTGGTTCAATTCCCAGTCAGGGCACCTGCAAGAGTTGTAGGCCAGGCCCCCAGTTGGGGGTGTGGGAAAGGCTAGTGATCAGTGTTTCTCTCGCACATCATTGATGTTCCTCTCCTCTTTCTCCCTTCCCCTCTCTCTAAAAAAATCTTTAAGACTGAAGACTTAAGTCCTCATTCCTTTGCATGCTGAGTCATGGCTAAAACCCCACAATAAAATTACATTCCTACCTTCACAATCCCACTGTGAGTTCTCTGGTGTTCATTCAAGTGGGAGATGTGTCCGTTGCATTCTGAGATTCATTTTTGTGGGATTTTTAATAACCCACAGCTGGTTGACACATTAGTTTTAAGTTGCTTAAAATTTCTCTCCCCCTTTCAGGGTTCTTTCTGTGGTTCACAGAAAGATCTCCATCTGCCATAGAATCCAGGATTCTGTGGTTCTCTAATATCACTGTCTTGTATTGAAGATCTAATTGGCTTTATTAATGGATCCATGGACCAGGCTACCATCTAGCAGTTAGAAGGGCGCTCCCTTGTATTTTTTAACACAATATGAGATATTACGAAAGTATTACGTTAGAATACATTTAATGTATCTACAATTAAAGTGTTATGTACTTATGCTGTATTCTTTACTGTTTTGTTTGTTTTCCTACTTCTATGAAAATTTCCAAGTAAAATGTGGAGCATATACAATTTTTTAAATAAAATGATGTTCCCACATTTGTATCTTGTTTATGTCTGGGTGTTGTGTGAGAAGGAAAACTTTCATCATCTCAGTTTACTATTGAGGTCTGAATGTTATTTCTTCTGGCCCTCATAACTTTCAAACAGGATTATGGGCTCTGGAGCCAGAGTGCTGAGGTTAAATCCCAGCCCTGTCATTTCCTAGCTGTGTGACTACGTAAATTACTTAACCTTTCTGTGCCTTAATATCTTATTCAACACAGGAATAACAATAGTATCTGCCTCACAGGTTATTGAAGATTAAATGATCAATGTCTAGCACATGGCAAGAGCTCAGAAGAGTTATTACTATTATCGTTTTCCTTCCTGTCTGTCCTGTGTATGAGCACACCTCGTTCATCATGCTGAAAACTATTATACTCATCAGCCAGAATGACTGAGTGACAAACTTCTGGCCAGGAACCAGTCACTCGCCCTGTCCACTAGTGGTGCTGGCCATTCTAAATGGGAAGCAGGTTTCAGAGCAGAAAGCATGGGCTCGGTATGCATCTCAAATGCTTGTTACATGGATGTGGCCAGAAGAAAACCTACAATTTTCAGAAAATTTCAGCCCCACCCTCCAAATACACACATTTCTATATAAATATAAATATACAGTATATACACTGTTACCAACTTCTGCATTTACCAATCAGCCTGATTGTTTGTTTCTGGTACCTTGGTCTCACACAAGTCAGAGGTATTTAATGAAATGTTAGTCATCTTTTAAATATATATACCCTACTTAAAAATAGGTTAAGCCATGGTATGAGCACCATGAGTTGTAGGCCAGATCCCCAGTACGTAGCTGTAAAAAGCAAAGACAAAAATTGGCAATACTGTAGGTTGGTCTTAGGAAATGAAAAGGTGGAGACGGTATGCGGTAATGTTTAAGAAAGCAAAGTGGAAACGGAGGGAACGTCCTATACAGGGGCGGCAGACGTTATGGCCACGGGGGAAGTGGC